CGGGAGTAGAAAGCCTCATCTTTCTCCCGCGGAGCGGCTGGTAGTTTCGAACCGCTGACCTTAAGGTTCGCAGCCCGATTCGTAACCACTACACTACCCAGGACTACCCATACTTAATTTGTTCTTACTGGTTTAGCTATTAAAATGACTATTTGAAATGTCAGTCATGTTATCACATATATTTAACAATGCATCTGTTTTTATATTGCCCTCCTTTTCCACTTTTTAAAACCTATAAATTTTTTTTTCTTTTTTTTAAAATGTTTTATTGTGAATTATAAGGAGCTCTGGTAGCATAGTGGTTACGAATCGGGCTGCGAACCTTAAGGCCAACAGTTCGAAACTACCCGCTATTCCATGGGAGAAAGATGCGGCGTTCTGCTCCCGTAAAGATTTACAGCCTCAGAAACCCTGTACAGGGTCGCTATGGGTCGGAACCGACTCGACGGCACTTAACAACAACATTGTGAATTATATGGTAGTTTACGTGAGAGAACTTTAGTTTTACATTCATTCCATCATACATCATCTCATTGCCATGGTTCCAATCCCCTCCATGCATCATCAACTAGCCAAAGGGTATATCCTAGAAACCCACCCCCTACACTTTCCCCCTCCTCCCCTTTCCCCCAATTTTCAGTCCACAGTCCCTTTCCCTCTCTGGATCCAAAGTCCCCAGCCGCTTCATTGCTCCACGTCATCGTCTCTGTCTCCATCTCAGGCATCTCTGTTTCTCTGGGTAGGGTCCTACTCTCGGCTCTTCTCCGTTGAAGGTCCTAGATAGCTCCGCTCCTAGCCTGTAGAATTAATCACTCCCTTCCTTGTTCCAAATCGCCTACCTTTGCATTTCCAACCCTTATAATCCGTCCTGATAAGCATTCTTCACTACAGTATCGCGAGTTACCCATCTGTATTTCCTTTCATCCGCTTTGCCCAGACAGATTGAATAGTACCCACTGGAGATTCTGCCTTCCTCCATGCTCCCTAGCACTAGGTTCCCCCTTGAAGGCTTGTAAGCCAGTCACTTCTTGCCTTCGTAGTTCCCCTCTCCCCATTTGAGTATCCAATGTCCAAGTTGCCCATCTCCGTCCACTCTGTGTGTGGAGGGGGTGGGAATGGTTCAGCACTTTAGTTTTTGCTTTTAAAAGTCTTCATGTGTCAAGAACGGAATATAGTGGTTCTGTAGGATACTCACTGGACTGCGAACCACAAAGTTGGTGGCTGAAGCCCATCAGTCACCCAGGGGGAGAAAGATGAAGCTTTTTGTTCCCACAAAGATTTACAGCCTCAGAAATCCGATATTGGGCCGCTATATGTCAGAACCAACATGATAGCACTTGATAACAACACATGTGTCAGAGATCATTCTTCAAGTATTTTAAGAATGTACAGGTCAAACGATAATGATGGTTGGGATGTTCTTTAGAATAGTCCAAAAAAGAAATTAAAAAGGGTGAGACAATGAAAATAAGATAAAATATGGATAATGTAATGGACACTTGATGATTCATGATATATTCACTCTATTTTTGTGTCTGATTGAATTTTTCCACCAAAAGTGCAACTTTTTAGTAAGCTTCCCAAGAAAAAATATAAAACAAAACAAAACTCTAGACTATGCTGCAGAGAGAAATTTCAGGAGAATATGAAAGTCCCCTTTTTTCCCTATTTAGCATCATGAATGTGCCACTTGAAAATGTCATTTGTAAAGAGAAATCTTGTGAATCACTAGAATGTAGAGACAGTTGTTGTATCTGGTGAAACACTTCCTTAAGAGCTGTAATTTGGATCCATTGTCATACTTAATGTGTGTCCTGCTAATAATATTTGAATTGGCATCTCTATTTTCTGGAGGAAATCATTGGCAATTTTCTCTGTTAAGCTAGAAGAGGGTCATCATACCTCCCTCTCACTTTTCCCACATGCATGAAGACAAGAAAATCTGAAGGTCAGCTCGATTTCTTATCCAGGCAAAGTTTGAGAGTTCTGACTCAAACTTTGTGATGGGTTCCCCTGGTCACAGGAAATGACCTGGAATGGAAAACAGCCTAAGCCACGCAGAAGGAATCTTCTGATATTGGGGCTAGGGAGTAATCGAAAAGACCTTCCCCACTGGACATGCACCTGAAAAGGTATGGCACCTACAGACTCCAGAGCATGAACTCAACATCGAGCAACCCTATGCAAAAGATGGAGCGACAACAGCTAATTCTTGGTGACACTGTTTGAAATTCTGGATCATGTCTAGCCTGACATCCAGAATTTCTTAATTACTTGAACTAACAAATTTTCTTCTCTACTTTTAGCAGGTGACTAGTTGAACTTCAAAATCCATTCCTCCTACATTCTCTAGTAAGTGAGTTTTAGTAGGGCACATGCCACTAAGACAGATATTATATTTTCCAGCTTTCCTTGCTGCTGGATGTAGCCAAATGACTAATTTCTTACTAGTGGAATTTGCATACAAGGATAAGTAAAAAGTTGCTTTAAAGAAAATGACTTGCCCTTTACTAGCTGGAATATGGCTGTGGGCATAAACCCAGTACTGCCCAGACAGATGAGATCACCATCCCAGGCGTAGGGATAGTAAAATGAGGGAAAAAGGGACGTGGTTCCTCACCTCTGCACTGGTAAAAGGATGAGAAATGGTACTTATTAAGCCATTGCCTTTGGGGGTCTCTTTATTACAGCATTGAAAAGCTGATGCTGTAACAAAGCATCAGATTTGTTTGTTTCTCATTGCCAGCTACTGGCGTGGGTGCTGGTACAGCCCTGGATGAGCGGAGCTGATTATTAAGTTGCTGCCCCGATAAACGTAAGACTGAGGACAGCTGCATACGGAGAGGGTCTGAGATTCCTGGGGCAGTCTCAAAAGAAGAGGTGAGGAAGAGATAAGAGAGAGAAGACAACAAGTTAGGGCTACCAGGGAGAACTCTCCATGGTTAAAGAACAGAGTACACAGAGTTTTTATTTTGGAGCAATGAAAATGTTTTAGAACTAGATGAAATCGGAGGTTGCATAATTGGATTCTTCACTTTACAATGATTCATTTTATCTTATGTGAACTTCACCTCAAAAAACTAAAGAAAAAAGGAATAAGAATAAAAATGCCCACAGTTAAAACTAAACTTGTTTTCATTCCTGTGATGCAAACCCCTCCTCTGTCCTCCAGATCAGAAAAGTATGAAAACTGAGGAATGTCTCAACAGACTTGGCTCAGAAATGGAGACAGCCGGCACAGGTCAGGGAGATGAATCACAAACTGAACAAATTCAGTATAAGCAGCAACTCAGAGTCAAAGGGGACCAGAGAACATTCATCCATACAGGGTTCTCAGAAATTGTGGTACAGATAGTGAATATATACAATTGCTAACCAAAAGGTGCCTTGAAGAAAGAGAGGATCTACTTCTGAAAAATCCATCACTGAAAACTACACAGAACACTGTTCTACCCTGACACCATGCATCAGAACCAACTGGTTTGTTGGTTATATGTACTTCACACCACATATGGAAACTAACTGAAAAACAGGCCAACACCTAAAAGTAAGAACTCAAACCATAAAACTTAGAGAGGAAAAAACATAAGGGTAATGCTTTGGGGGGTGTAGTTTTTAACAATGGTTTCTTAGACATGACGTTGAAAACACAAAGCAACAAAAAACAAAACAGATCAATAGGACCTCATCAAAACGAAAAACTTCTGTCCATCAAAGGACTTTATCAATAAAGGAAAGGGATAACCTACAGATTGGGAGAAAATTTGGGAGTTTAATATACAAACTATATCAAGAATTCCTACAATATTAACAGCAAAAAGAGCAACTCCCCAATCAAAATATGGGTAAATTCCACCAAAAAAAGAAAAACAAATAGCCAAGGCACATGTTATCTGCATCTTGTGTGGACTGTTTTTTTTGTGTGTGTATGTCTTTCTACAGCTCTAGGTCCCCACTCTGTTTTAGGGGCTGAGGCCCAGTTCCCTTTGAGAGACCCCAGCCTGCTCAACACCACTCACCTCCACAAAAGAGAAATCCTTGAAGCTGGTATCAGAGAGCAGGATGGATTTCTCATTGGGGATGCCGCCCAGGATGAGCACAGGTGATTGTTCTGCAGTGTACCATAGGGGCCGTGACGGGGCATTCACGAAGTACTGGGGTTTCATATTGAAGAGCTGCCAGGGGAGGCCAGAAGGTCTGTTTGATACCTTCCTGATTCCTTTATGGCTCCATCTCACTCCGGGGCAAAATCAAAGTCTTCCCCATTGCCCACGAGACCCCACACTATGTGCCCCCATCACCTCCCTCACCTCATCCCCTACCATCCTTCTTTGCACTCATCAGTCCCAGCTACATACGTGGTTCTCAAACTTCCCAGGCACCTTGCTACCTCAGAGCCTTGGTATTGGCTGTTCCCTCTGTCTGGAATTGCCCTTCCCCCAATATCCACATGACTCTCTCACTCTTCCTTCAAATATCAACCTTCCCAATTAAATCCTTCTTAACCATTCAATTAAACATTACGACCTCCGCCTGTATACCAATCCCCTTCACCCTGTTTCTCTCCAGAACACTTACCACCCACCTTCTAACATTATGGAATTTACTTGATTTTCATGTTTACTAGTTTGGTGTCTGTCTCCCCTACTAGAATGTCAGAAGGGCAGGGATTTAGGTCTGCATGTTCACTGCTGGAATTTGGGTCTGTGTATTTACCTCTGTATTCCCCATGGTACCACAAAATGTGCTTAGTATGTGCCTACTGAATGAATGAATGAATGAATGAATGCAGTGATTAAGAATATCTCCTCCCAGTAAATGTCTGATCCACTTCCCCAACCTGTCCTCTGAAGCCCAGGGTTCCAGAATTCTCATCTGTGTGTTTTTGTTTGGTCTCCCCTACCTTTGTTGCACAGGGTCTGAGTAAGTGCAGCTAATTACTCCGCCATCTTAGTTTTGGGCTCCCCAATGACTTTTGAGTGCAGATCAAAAGAATACAGAGACAATTTACAGACCGGGCAAAAAAACCTTTGGGAAAAACAGGTGGGGACTTCAAAAAGTTCATGTAAAAATGGAATTAAAAGCTAATGGAATTTTTTCATAAGCTTTATGAAGCCCCTCATAAAATTGATAATGGTCTAATAATCCAAAACATACAGAACACTCCTACAACTTAATAACAAAAACACAAACAATCTTATTAAAAGCTGAACAAAGTCAATAGACTCCTGTCCATCTGGATTGAAACCTAGTTGGCCAGCAGTATGGCGAGACCTGGTGGACTTCTGGGCCCAGGGACAGGGACATGGCCACAGAGGACTAGAACAGAGAGTGAAGTGTCCAGCTGATATGAAATGAGAGGAGATGCTCAAGAACACCCACACTTGCAGATAGTACCCATTTGACCTGGCTTCAATGGCTGGATGATCAGAACTCGACTAGAGGAAGAAAGAAGAGGAAAAAAAGAGTAATCCGCTACAATTTGATGAATTTGACCTATATTTATGGATGTAGTAGCTCAAAAGAGGGAATGAATCTTTACAGTATCATTCCCACCCCCTCAGTACACAGGATTGACAGGGATGGGCAACTTAGACAATGGCTACCCAAAATGGGGGGGGGGAGGCTACAGGAGCTCTGGTAGCGTAGTGGTTACAAATTGGGCTGCGAACGACAAGGTCAGCAGTTTGAAACTACCAGCTGTTCCGCCAGAGAAAGATGAGGCTTTCGGCTCCCGTAAAGATTTACAGCCTCGGAAACCCTGTACAGGGTCACTATGAGTCGGAACTGACTCCACGGCACATAACAACAACACAAAGGCGAGAAGTGATTGGTTTACAAACTTTCAAGAGGGAGCCTAGTTTCAGAGGGTGTGGGGGAAGGTAGAATCACCACTGAGTGGTTTCCAAGCTGTCTGGACAAGGCTGGTAAAAGGAGATGGGGATAAGACTCTTATGGTTCAATAGTGAATAATTGCTATCAGGACTGACTGTGAGGGTTGCAAATGTAAAGGTAGGTGTTTTGTAGCAAAAGATAGGGAGTGGTTGATTTTGTAGTCCAGGAGCGAAGGACCCTGAGACCATCAAGGGAGAAGAGCAGAGTACAGGACCCTATCCAGAGAAGCAATGATACCAGAGATGGAGGCAGAGATGATGACGTGGAGAGATGGAGTGGCTGGGGACTCTAGACTCAAGAAGGGAGAGGGGTTGTGTGCTAGCAGGTGTGGGGCAGGCTTGCGGGGTGTACCCTTTGGGTTGTTTGTGAATTGTTATATGTTTTTGAGTGCTTCGGTGTACATCAAAAAACAAAAACAAAAACAGAGGGAGTGGTAGCAGATGGTGTTAAATGATGACGCATGGAGGGGATTGTAATCATTGCAATGAAATGAAATACGATAGGATGAATGTAAAGCTGATGTTCTCCCATGTAAACTATCATTCAATTCACAATAAAAAAAAAAAAAGCTGAACAAAGGACATGAGCAGACATTTCACCAAAAAGGATATTCAAATGGCCAACACACATATGAAAAGATGCACAGTTGTCAGTAATCACCAGAGAAATGCAACTAAAAATCACAATGAGTGAATGATTGTTATCATGACTAACTGATTGTCATAACTGTAAAGGTAAAAGCTGTGTAACAAAAAGGGGGGAGTGGTTAATCTTACATTCCAGGTACAGAGGAACCTAGGACCATCAAGAAGGAAGAGCATGAGCAGAGTGTGGGATCCTAACCAGAGAATCTGCGACACCAGACACAAAGGCAGAAGTGATGGCGTGGAGAGCATGAGCAGCTGAGGACTCTAGACGCAGGGAAAGAGAATGGCTGTGTGCTGGCGGCCAGGAGGCAGGCTTGCAGAATGCGCCCTTTAGTTGTTTAATTGATTATATATTCCTGAGTGTTTTTGTGTACAGCAAAAAAAAGAAAAGAAAAGGGGGGCTGATAGAGTTAACCAATACTGTTAATCAATGGTGCATGGAGGGGACTGTAATCATTGCACTGAAACAAAATATAATTGGATGAGTGTAAACCAGATGTTCTCCCATGTAAACTATCATTCAATTCACAATAAAAGCATTTAAAAAAAAACAAAACTAGATGGTGCCCGGCTATCACTGGTGACCATTCTAATCAGGACCCCAACAGATGAACCCTGACAGGATGGCAGGGGGGAATGTAGAATAAAACCTCATATTCCTAAAAAAAAAAACAGAACACCAGACATACTGGTATCTTTGAGATAGGAGGACATTTCAGTCAAGGTTTTAAGCATGTCTCAGGACCGAGATGACTGTCCTGAGACACTTCTAAAACCTTGACTGAAATGAACCCGAGATGCCTTGTAGCTAAATAACAAATGGGATAAAAAAATAAAAAAAAAAGACTGAGCATCACCCAGAAGTACCGTGCTCCTTAAAAAAAAATCACCAATATGAGATCAAATGGTCAAAAATGTCTGCAAAACAAAGACGAGGACATAAAGGGGCAGGGAGAATAGATGAGTTGAAATGGAAAGCTACAAGAGACACAGAGAATGTTCACACACTGTGAAGAAGGCAAGCAATACCACTAACTTGTGCAGACATTTCTGAATGGGAACCTAAACTCTGTAAACCTTCATTGAAAACCCTTTTTTTTCCCAACATAATACGGGTGCAGGAGTCAGTTAGGTGCCAACAGTTTCAAGTCTCTGCTCCTCATGTACCAGCTGGGAGACTGTGGGGTCTCTGTTTTCTCGGAGCATCTCCTTCACGGGGTCGTTAGAAAGACCTGATGTGACCCTGCAATTGGCAAAGTCCTTTACCTCAGACTGGCACAACGTAAGGCCTGTTTCCAGAGTAATCAGAACGCTGTCTGAGACACAGACCCCCTATCTTTAGGCCAGCCCCTCACCTCATTCCCTACAGTAAACTGGAGGGTCTTGCCTTCACTCATCTTCAGGAAGCCGTTGATATTCATGTAGAACCTGACAACAAGTAAAGAGCAGGCATAGGTGAGAGTCTCAGTTTCAGGACCCTCATCTCTGCCTTCCACTCTACCCCTTCCCTTTCGTTTCCCCTGTATCCTTTCGCCCGCCCCAGCCGACCTCCCACCCTGGGCTTGGGAAAGGGCACCTCTGCTTATGAATGTGGAGTCCCAGGCCATTGCTGCTGACATCCACGTGCATGACCACACTGCCGTTCTTGGTAGGCATGGGCGCGTACCAACTCATGCCACATACCTCCTCTGCTCTGCAGGGTTCTGCTGGTAGGCAGGGAGCACTGAGACTGCTGGGGTCTCCCAGTGAGCATCCCCCCACCGCCCAGTTCACAGATCACACTGAAATGCCTCATACCCTACTCACTATAGGACCCCACTGGGGGATTTGTGTGGTACCCCCTAGTCCATGGGCACCTCTGATCTCCCCCAGGTTCTCCTTGGGAACATGGACCACCCTCACTTACATCCCTTCAATTGCACCAGGCCCACCTATGTTGCGGAAGGGAGCTGCTTCCATCTGTATCTGCAGCTGCTCTATCTTCCATCGGTAGAAGTTGACTGGAGAATGGAAGGTGACTAGCACTACGGGCTTTAGCCCCGTCAGGTGGCCCTTACGGATCATGGCCTTGGAGTTCTGAAGGTAAGATGGCCCCACAGGTGTGTCCTTAAGAAAGTTGCTGAGTTCCCAGTGCCTTGACCCCCCTTTGCCCCCACCTTTTACTAAATCGTCTGTCTTCTGGGGCTGGGTGGGAATAGAGAATATGGTCGAGGTTTGGGGCTAAGGTCAGGGATAGGTCAGGCTAGGAGAGGACAGAGGGCTAGGGGTTGTGGTGGAAGACTTGGAGGGCGTGAGTTTAGAACCAGTGTCTCCCCACTTAATTTGAATATCGGAAACACATGGTTAAGAGCAGCATTGGATGAGCAAAATGTGAAAAAGGAATTACAATACTACATGGCGACAGTGGTCAAAACAGCTTGGTACTGGTACAATGAAAGGCACATAGATCAATGGAGCAGAATCGAGAATCCAGAAATTAAAGCATCTACATACAGCCAATTGATCTTCGACAAAACACCAAAATATGTCCCATGGGGAAAGGATAGCCTCTTCAACAGATGGTGCTGGCAGAACTGGAAAAT